CACGTCCTCTTTAGTGGCCAGAGAGTGGAGGAGTATCCTGATTTCTTCACCCCAGGACAGAGGCCAATACCAGTGACAGCGGCGGTACCGGGTCTGCGGGTTGCAATGCGGTGGGGGGCAGTCTTGGTGACCGTATGGGGAAGCGGTTGTGGGTTGATGGCCCAGAGGGAGAGGGGGCTGCATCCAGCAGCAACTGACCTGGAGGGGAGATGGCCGCTCGGCATCATCGTGTCAGGAGCGTCTGCCGGGAGACTTGGGGCTGCTGGAGTGAAGTAGCCGGGTATAGTCCACCGGGAGGTTTGCTTGCGGGATCGGGTCGATTTCCGACTGCCAACCATGGGGATTAGATCAAGTTTAGTGCATGCAATCAGCTGAAATAGGTATGTGGGGGAGCAGAGCTCAGCACACACGCGTCTCTACGGCTCCATTGCTTGGCCACGCCCCCTTCGTTTAATGTTTAATTTGCAGTGTAGTGTAGTTTTTAAGGTCGTGGCCCCCCCTGTGCACTTGGTACCTTCTTGAGCACGTGCGCACAGGAAGGTTTTTGTTTTGATTTTTACATTGAAGGAGCTTCCTTTAACCCAGCAGCAGTGGAGCACAGGAGCTGGAGGTAAAGGTAAGAAGGGAGAGGGGGCTTAGTAGTAGGTGGCAATGTTTCTTTGGCTGACTGAAGAGGCTTCAAGGATCTAACATATTCAGCATGAATCTACCAGCGCTCATTGGCTGACTGGAGACACTTTGAGGGTTTAACATATCCGGCATGAATCTACCAGCACTCATTATATGACTATAGAGACTTTAAGGATTTAACATACAGTATCTGGCATCAATCTATCAGCAATCGACTGACTGGAGAGACTTCCAGGATTTACCATATCAGGCATTAGACTACCTGCTCTCATTTACTGACTGGAGGGACTTCCAGGATGTAACATGTCTGGTATGAATCTACCAGTGCTTGTTGGCTGACTGGGGAGACTTTAGATATTTAAATAATCTGGCACAAATCTAATATTAGCTGCTGATAGAAAAAAAATATATTTTCAAATGCTCATAAAACAGCAGAGCTGAAAAAAACACATTCACTCTGCCACCTGCAGGTGGCAGGCATGCTGGTTGTGGGTGGGATTATCCTGTGATGGCTAATAGTTTTTTTTTGTTGCCTGTGTCCATTTTTCCTGTAGGCAGCAGTAGAACCTGAAGGTTTAAGACTCAATGTATAAGAAAGACATATATGTATCATACGTATATTAATAAATAAAAGAAAACACATTCCAAGGTGTGGTCTAAAATATCAACGTCTACATAGTACATACTAGATACTGGTCCACTCTGGTAACCTTTGCTTGTAGTATAAGTCTCCATTTACACATAAGTGTTTCTCAGGGGCGTAACTAGAAATCACAGGGCCCCATAGCAAAGATTTGCTCCTCCTCCGTCGCCGGGCCTGCCTCCTCCACCATCGCTGCTGGCTCTCATTGACTCAGCAGCGGCTCTGGAGACGAACGCGCTGTTGCACAGATTACGGTCAGTGATCTGAACAGGAGCGCATTCTTCTTCAGAGCCGCCAGTGAAAGCCATCAGCAGAGGATGCCATAGCGACCTAGGCGGTCCGCTCGGCATCTGGCCGGGCCCCACTGCAGGGAAGTGTTAAAATTGTAATTGAAGGTTTTTCAGGAAGTGGCTCTACCTGAGTAACGGAGGACTTATTTACCAAAGAGTGTTTTATTTTCCCCTAGGTTGTTGTTTCATGCTCCAGTTCTGCACTGGGAGAATGAAAGAGAGAGCAGGGTTGTTAAAGGCAAACATTTTGATAAGATTGTGTGTAATTAAAGCTTCCACGAGTATCTGACACTAAATCAGTCTGCATTTCTGTTACAGCAAAATAAGTTATTTATAGTTCCATCAGAAATCTTAAATGATAGTCACATCCAAAAAAAGAAAGATTTCAGAAGGCAGGAAGGCATAGCTAAACATCCATTTGGAAGTTTTAGCGTTTAACATTTATATCCTGCAATCTATATGCTATATAGTCCACTTCTCAGGGGGCTTCATAACTACAGTATCTGCATTGTCCTACAAAAACAGTTCTGAGGGCCCATTCACACCAGTGTTATGTGTTAAGTGAACAGTTCTGTGCGATTAACTCACCATAACACACAACACACCTACCATGCATTAACAGCGCTGGAGCTGCGTTACATTGCCATTCATTTGAATGGCACCCCAAACACACTTCCTCTTTTCAACTGCACTGCAACGCACTGTATTGCAGTACCAGGCATTGTGGTGCAATTGCGCACATTGAGGGCGAAAGGTGAGTTTGGGGTGCCATTCAAATGAATGGCAATGCAATGCATCTTCCATGCTATTAATACAGTGCGTAGGTGCGTTATGCGGTATGGTGCGTTAATCTCATGGAACAGTGCGATTAACTTATTGGGCTTGTGTGAATGGGCCCTTAATCTGACTGTTGTTTTATGACAGCAAACATTTCCTGCATGAAAAAGATACAATCTCAAAACCTAATAACCTAAATGCACCTAGATACCCAATGTTCGGTAAATGATGGACCATTACAGACACTGCAGTAAGGCAGTAAAACAGCAAAACAATGTGTTCTCAGACCAGTCACCTACAAGAAAGCAGCTACTCTCTTAACTGAATAAGAACTAGAATGAGTGTACAAACCCTCAGTGAGTTGGTAGGCACACTTCACAGGAAGGCCGGGTCAATGTAACTAGGATATGCCTCCATTCTATCAGAATGTAAAAAATACAGTAGGGGGAGATTGGAGTTCACACGTCGGAGGACCGAGGGGGGAGACATCGGTGAGAGAGAGCTGAGCGCGAACACACCATGGCATACCCCGGATATGGGAACATGAATCCCTCGATGCCAATGATGGGTCAGACCATGGCACCCAATGTACATGGAGGCTTCTATGGACAAGCTCTGTATGCTGCACAAGATCCGATGTGGAGCTATTTCACAGCAGTGGCTGGACAGGATGGTGAAGTAGATGCTGAAGAACTACAGAGATGTTTAACACAGGCTGGAATCCATGGGACCTATACACCTTTCAGCCTGGAAACCTGCCGTATTATGATTGCTTTGTTGGATAGGGACTTTTCTGGCAAAATGGGCTTCAATGAATTCAAAGAACTGTGGGCAGCTTTAAGTGCCTGGAAACAGAACTTCTGCACATTTGATCAAGACCGGAGTGGATCAGTGGAGCCCCATGAGCTAAACCAGTCCATTCTGGCAATGGGTTACAGAATAAACCCATCTACAGTTAACACTATAGTGAAACGCTATAGTAAGAGCGGCAGAATATTCTTTGATGATTATGTTGCATGCTGCGTGAAGCTTCGTGCCTTAACAGATGTCTTTCGACGAAGAGACAGCATGCATCAGGGAGTGGTCAACTTCATGTATGATGATTTTTTGCAGAGTACCATGGCCATATAAGAAACCAGAACACAGTCCTGTTATGAAGAATCTGGCATTATAACCCATCCTGTGAACTGTTTTGAAGAAGGAACCAGGTGTGACCACACTGAATCTACCTTATTGTACAACCTAATATTTCAATTTTAAGTCAGTTCTTATACGCAGTACACTGACTCAACACATTGTTAGTTAATTTGTATTATAGGACACAGAGATTTCTGTAAAATATATGTTCAAGCTTTCTTTTTTCGTATAAAAATATATCTATTAAAAGCCACCTTTTGGCAGTAAGGGTAAGGCAGTAAATTTATTACAACTGGAGCAGACAAAATTTGGATATTTGCACTGCAACCTATCAGCTACTCTGTTTTATTTTCAAATCTTACCTGAGCAAACTAAAGAGAGAGATGCTGGATGAATGAAAAAAGAAAATAGTAAAAATTGACAACATTCAGGGCCATCACACTGCTAATGAATGGAGTGGTTCTACACTTATAATACTGATAATGTTTTTAAATGATAAAGGTCAACAAAAACTCAATAAAAACCCTGGAAGAAATAAACTACTGTCTAACTGACTTATTTATTACAATAATACAGCATATTTTATTATGCTAAGAAACTGACTAGTCAGAAATAAGTCATCTTTATTAAATGCTCCAGGTACAATCATCACCCCAAGATAATAAACACAAATTGCAATGCCCATGGTCCCCTTAATAACTCCTAAAGACTTGCTCTCTCATCTTATGGCTCACAAGAATGGGAAGTTTAATTGGTAAATATTTTTTCAACTTAGCTGTCACAACCAAAATTATTAGGTAAAGGACAAACATGAAGTAAGGCAAGTGACGTCTCGTCATAAATTAAAATTTACAATTGAAATTAGAAATCCAAAAATGAAAGCCTGTCATAAGGCAGTTGGTGCTGTGTCAAGGGCTGTTAGCCATAGGTTCATATGAGAGTGAAGACTAAGTTTATTTTTTAAACGTTAACTTCTTTGAAAACAGAAATTAACATCAACATATATAGCTAATAAATAATGCAAAGTGGTAAATAATTAAAATGGGTAGTGGGATTAAACTTCTCTTAGCACTTTAAAACAATAGTGTGCATGTGTGTGTCTCTGTGTGATCATGGTATTTATTTCACTCATCTCTGATGTGTTGGGCCTTTGTTTCTCAAGCCTTCTCTTTTAACGGTTACTACTGCTGGATATCCATGATCTGGCTCATTTATCAAAAGATAAGCCAAAGTCATCTATTGAAAAGTTACTGCACTGAGGGAATGCCAGCAATACAGATTAAAATCCTCATGAAAGAGAGAAAGGTAGTATAGGCCGTGATGAGAATGTGCAAAGTTCAATAACCCAACACAATCAGGTAAGTACAGTCACATAAATTAGGAGCTTATTTATAATTGGTTGTTATGGGTTACTGTGTTTTCCTTATTCTCACAGTTCTTTGCAGTACTTTACTGAATAAGCCAAATAGCGTTCTCTAGAGTATTCTTTAAAAATAGCTTATTTTACCAGCCTATATTGGTTACATATGTAAGCTATGGAAAATTATTCACTATCAAAATATAAGCTTTAAAAAGTGATGAATAACAATGGTTTTTACAATGGGTAAGAATATCCAACTATTAGTTGCTGGAAATATTTTGCCATTGATACAGTAGCATGAAAAGACTGAATGCAGCATTTGCAGGAACAGGCCAGTAGCTCTTAAACATGGATGTGCATATTTACTATCTAGAGATAATGTGACAGTAATGGGAGGAATCTAGGTAATTTCGATATTCCTCAGCCCAAAAGGGAAAACACCATATGTGTGAGCGCAGGTTACTTGAAAGTTTCAATGATGCTGACAATATGCATTTTCAAATTACATAATAAAACAGATGTGAATTGGTATTGCACTGTCACTGTTTATAATCTTCCTCCACTGTGACACTGTGTTTAGCATTTTCACCTTTCCGTAGGTCACTGTCAGATTCCAAAATACAACTGAAAGTGTGAATACTCTCTGGATCAACAGGAGGAACCAAAGTAAGAGATTCAGCACTAAGAGCATCAGTGTTATCAGATATTAAGGAAATTGTTGGCTGGGGTGCTGGAGTCAGGCTAGGAGCCAGGTTGGTGATCTCACTGTCTTGCTTTCGTAAGGAACTCTTCCTAATTCGAGTGGAAGATGACAGAGTCTCTTCAGTAGTCTCCATTTCACTGTAAACTGTCACTGGAGGTTGGTCAAGAATGGAAGAATCATCTGTGAAAGAACATTAATAATTATTGAGGGAAAATTCAACAACTGCAATCATTTTGAAATGGAATTCACTACAAATAATTTGAATTTATTGAGGTTTTTTTTACAGAAGGATTGAAAGAAGGTAGGTATTACCTAACCCTTTTGTTGCTTTGATCTGACTTAAATATAGCACCTAAGATGGCTAAGCCAATCTTTCAATTTTTTTTACATACATTAATTAAATACACATCATAGTTTTCAAGGTTCACCCCCCAATCACATAACCAAAATAAATTATGTATGTGTTCTTGATTTTGCACAATGTTTATCGAGGCTATATATTTTAATAAAAATAGGCTAGCATTGTTAATATTACAGAAAACAAAATATAGGAGTCAAATATAAGGAGAACCTGTGCTGAACTGAAAAATAAACCACCCAAAAATGGTTCATGCTTGTAAAACAATGAAAATGAGTCTAAACAAAATTAATTGGCAACTAACACTAAAACCCATGGCACATCAGCTTTTTACCATTACACTTAAATTATGACCCCCTAAATTATTCATAAATATTTGTTTTTGATGAGATTTCATGTGGATTTTATGTTGGTTCATGTGGACTAAATGTGTGCTAGTTACTTAAATGTATGTTTGATTTTGTGTGTGTTGATTTCTGTTTTAATCATTTAGCTAAAGTGTAAGTCCACTTTTAATGGACTCCACTCCTATGCCCTCGATCATGACCCCTGAGAAGTAACACTTACCTGTCCCTGCTCAACCAAGATCTTTGCTTTGTGGCATGCTCAGCACTGCACTGCCTCTTTTGAAAGCTATTTACTGTTGAGTGCTGCTCCTCCCATGCATGTATGCCATAATTTCAGTTCCTCCCAATGGAAAGTCCAGGGGAATATGCACTTTTACACTGGAATGAATAGAGATTGTGGCATGCATGTCAGGAAAAGCAAGAACTTTCTGCTCGAATGAATGTAGATAATGTTGCACAACCAGAAGAAGGGCAGAGCATAACAGTGTAGATCTTGCCACTGACGTCCCTAAGAGATAAAATATGATTTACCCAACCAATCGAATTGTACAACCTAAAACTGACACAATCAATTTAGCATATATTGGTGTTTTAAAGTATTACATATCTTTACCCTATACCTTGACACTGGCCTTTTACAATTATATAAATATTTGCCAGGTCTGAAACAAACAACTAGTCAAACTTACAAACAGTGTTGTCACATTTTCTGCATTACATTTTGTCTAAATACCAAAATGTGATAACTTTTTTTTTGTTACAAATTAAACTGTGTTGAAGAATGGGAAAACACAATATGCAATTGTATCAGCAAAAGGTAGTGTAGCGCTCACCCCCCCCAAGGAGCGGCTGGATGAACGGGTCTAGGAATTTTAGCAACTGGCTGCCCCAGTAGCATCTACCACCCTTCTCTGGTGACCGATAAAACTAAGATTCAGACTGTAGTTACACTGCTGATGGAACTTTATTGCATAACTTCATAAATGAGAGAGAGGGCATAGGGCTTTGGACATCCATGGCAAAAACAGAACAGAACTCCAAACTCACCAGTCCATTTCAGTATTCCACAGTGCAGGATCAAGAACAGCACATGCGGATCATGGGTATTTGAGCAACAGTAGAAGAGGTATAGGCACGAGATCTTCAGTAGGAGAAACACCAGACTTGCTCCTGAGGTCAATTCCAACTCCAGGCACCTCCAACAGCCATCCAGATTCTCTTCTTCAGTTAGCACATGAGGCCTCCTCCAGACTTGAGGCCTAGGCAACGTTTCCCACACTTGAGTATTCCCACCCCCAGGCCAAGCCTGTGGCAAGGTTGGAACCCCAACCAGGACTAGAATAGACTAGACTAGACTGAGCACATGGCAATTCCCCTGAGTATATATGCACTTCCCCAGCATGCACCACTGGCCATGAAATCCCCAGTGATTGGCTGGTGAGCAATACACACATAATGTTCCCCCATTGGCTGTCCCACACTGTAGCAGGGTCACACCCCACTCAGGCAGGTACAATCAATGTAATAACACCTGGAATTGACCAGATAAATGCCAACTATAATTCAGCCAAACTGATTACAGCTCTGGCAACACATTATATTCTAGTAGCCATCCCCCTAAAGGTGGTAGGTGCTACACTAGAAAAAAAAAAGATCATAAGAGACTGTAAAATACTAGACCACACAGGGACTCTTATACACACATGGACGCACAAGACACACACACACAAAGGTTGAACTTGATGGACTTGTGTCTTTTTTTTCAATCTCAAATATTATGTAACTATACTGTACATACTGCGTTGCTCCTCAATGGGGATAACAGAAAATACGGAGGGGAAAAAACAGGAGATACTGCTATAGTATAGTAGTTTCCAATTGATTCAGTAAATAAAAGTATAAAGTTGGAGAGTGATCAAAGAAGGATTAGACTCACATTTGGAGAGATTGCTAGATGCCCAGAAGAATCTACAACCCAGATCTTACCTAAGGAGAATATATGTTTTAACTCAGACCTTAGTGGGAATCTAGTCACAATTAAACACTGTTGGGGGAACTATTACCTCCTTGTGGTCTGGTCCTGGTCTGTGTACCAAATTGTGATGTTAAAATTAGCTCAAAAGGGACATAGTGAAGGCACCTGCTAGAAACATAATGGTCTTCCAAACTGTAAAATCCACAAAAGAGTTTATGATTGTACATTATTCAAATAAATTAAAGTTAAAAACTATCAGCACGTTTTGTGACTCTGTACAGTCACTTCATCAGGAAGATGTGAGAAATACATCAGCGGCTTCTCCAAATGTAAGCAAGCACTGTCTGAGAACTCACAGTTCTCAGACAATACACACAGCATTATGTTGTGGAGATGTTTCTTTACAGCAGGCCCTGGAAGGTTCATTAAGGTGTGACAGATTGTACTGGCCACGGGGTGAGGTAATTGCTGGCTGCTATGTAAGCAATAGGTTGAAGCAGGCAGTCAGTTACCAAATGGGTTAACTCACCTAAACAGGGTGTTGACAAAAGGTTTTAAAAGGAGATGCAGCTAACAGGTCACTGGGAAGAGAGAGACTGTGAAACACAGACCTCCCAGGCTGCTGCACTCGAGGTATGGTGAAACCTGAGAAAATGTTATGTTTATTTGGCAGGTGTTTAAAAACTTAGCTTGGCACCTTTATTCAGTGAGGGTGAAAACTGTTTTCTATGTTTAGGTAGATCTCTGACAGAGATAGGCTTTTTGTTTATGTGTTTTTGTTACTAGCTGGTTTGAGAAGACTCAGTGCTGTTTGTGAAAAAGTTGTCACTGAGTACAATAAACTTCCCTGCTAAGGACGTTTGGACTCCGGCCTCTACAAGTTTATCGGCTTACTGACTGCATTGTGACACAGTGTTACCCAGGAACAGACACACACTGCTACAGAAGGTAGAATTCATAAAGCAAAATACTGAAGGAAAATTTGCTGTATTAAGCAAGAAACCTTCCTAGGGAGATGATTTATCCAAAAGTTTGGCAAAATTTCTCTGACTTTTCCAGTTTAGATGAGGGCAGTTGGTGAACATCAATTTTCAAGTCTTGCGATTAATTCTCACCTGGATTGAGGTATGGGCTTTAACTTGGGCATTCTCATACACTATAGTTTTTGGCATTAAACTACTGCAGTATAGCTTTGTCTGTGTGTTTAGAGTCACTGCCCTGCTAGAAGATGAGGCCCCAATTTAGCAGGGAACAGGTGAAATTCAATCTGTGTATGGCTTACAAGCTTTAGAGATACAACTGGCCTCATGATTGCTTTTAAGACTTATACCCTCCTTACTTACCAAAGTTTACTGGATTGCTTTCACTAGGCAGAGTGCTATATTTAATTTATCAGTGATCAGTTTAGCGTTATTTTTGGACTTGTTTGATTAGATATGATCTCTAATAAATTCTAGGTCCTTCCAAAACACAAAATTACACACTATGAAAAATAGTTTTACAAATGATCTAATTCTTTCCCACTTTGACATTATGGGCTATTTTGTGTAAATCAGTGACATCAAATCCACATTACACCCATTTTAACTCCAGACTGTACAACTATATAAAGTGGAGAGGTCCTGTAAATTGGATACTTCTAGAAAGCACTGTATGTATAGTATTTTAACTGTGTATTTATTTACTTGTCTGGAGTTCTGTTTCATTGCATTATTTCTATAACAGCTTTGATAGTTTTTTATTCAACTCCCAGGTAGAATGTATTGAATTAAAGTGAATTACACTCATCCCCATAGTTAGAGCCGACGTGTGACATTGAAACTGTGACTAGTTGGCTGTATCGATCAGGAAGTGAGAGGAAACATACCGCCGCTTGCTCACTTCCCGATCCTCTCCCTGTAGAGAGCAGTGACAGTCAGTCACCGCTCGCCACAGAGATTCCCCTCCTCTTCCTCCAATGCTGTGGCACTCTCAGCATATAGCAGGCAATAGCCCACTATATACTGAGTTTTGGGTCACTGGAGGACTTTAGTTTATGTCCTCCCGTGACCCTAAAGAGAACTATGAAAAAAAAAGGTTACCCCATAGCTCTCTTTTAAGTTGAGTTAAATTAAGAAGACATTCTTCTAGGGAGTTGAATGAAAAAGTTTATATACTTTAAAAAATATTTCAACAAAAACAAAGGAGCCAATATTTCCATAGACCTATTTTTGAAATAAATTATATTACAAGCTGGAAGATAATAGTACTTCAACAGAAGAACCTGGGTGCATGCAAACAAAATGGAAATGTTTATAAGTATTTTTTATCCATTCAGTAAAGATTTTTCATTGTCTTGCATTAGGTATTCTATGTTTTAGCAGAACTTCATCAGAACAAAACATGATGATAGTGATTTAGTAATTTATACATACTGCATACATTAAGAAAAAAAACCAGGCCCTTTATTGAGCATAAATGTGCAGCATACTTAAAAGTACATAAGAAATCAGTATAATTG